CCCCCCCCCCCCGCTCCCCCCGCTCCCCCCGGGCACTATGGAACAAGGCAGGGGGCCGTCTGGGAGCGGGCGCGAGGGCTCAGATGCGCGCGGCCGTTCTCTCGGCGCACATGCGAGCCCTTCCGCCCTCCAGTTCCTCTCGCGGATCTCTGCCTCCCCTCCCTCACCCAGTCATCCGCCCAGGTTCCCTGCGGTCGCGCCCGCCCTGACCCGTTCCCGACGAGGAGAAGGGCCCGACGGACAGCCCGGACGGCTGACACCCGGGGCGTTCCGTTGGTCCCCCCGTCCCGGCCCCCGCCGACTCGCCACCTCCCACCCCCACCCCCCCCCCGATCATTTTTCTGGCCCCGGGTGGGCGCCGGTTATCGTTGGTGCGGGCGAGTCTGCCCCCCAGTCGTGGCCCCCCTTCGGTCGGCCCTTTGGGCGCCTCGTTTTGCTTGATATCCTCGCCTCGCGCATCCGGGCGCATCTTCGGCTGGCTTTTGACGCGCCCCCCCCCCCCCCCCCCCCCCCCCCCCCCCCCCCCCCGCTCACCCCGCTCACCCCGCTCCCCCTCCCCGCTTTGGGGCCTGCTCCTCTCGGCCCCTTGCGCCCGTGCGCGCCGCCGCTGACCGATTGCCCTCCCCCATGTGCAGATATTGCTGAGCATGAGTTCTTCCGCGATGTGGATTGGGCCGGGCTGACGACGATGAAGCCGCCCTTCATCCCCCGGCCGTCGGACACCGGGGACACGACGTACTTCGAGCGGCGCAATGAGCGGGCCGATGTCCGGCGCCAACTGAAGAGCCACGGGAGTATGGACCTGCTGGCGGCCGTGGCGTCGGGCGAGGTGGTGCCCGAGGATGGGCCAGCCTCGCGGTCCGGCTCGCCGTTGCCGACCGGCGGGATGTCGCCCTTCCGCACGGGGAGCCCGGCCCCCGGGTCGCATGGCGGGGGGCTGCTCTCGCCGGTGGCCAGCGGGTCGCCGCGTGGCAGCGCCACCGGGTCCGGCCTGCTGGCCGGGTCGCGGTCGCGCTCCGGGTCGACGCAATCGCGGCAGAGTGTCATCTCGATTGGCGGGGCAGCCGGCGGCCCCGGGGGGCAGACGATCTCGCGCTTCTGCTCCCAGTCGCCGGCTTTGTGCCGGGTGTCGCCGGTCCCGGCGGGCCGGCCGGTTCCCGGGTACTGCCAGTGTGCGTGCCCCTGTGCGTGCACCTGCTCCTGCAGCTGCCTGCGCCTGGACAGCCCGGGCCACGCGCACTCCAAGCCTAAGATCGTCCTGCCATGCTCGTTTGAGGCGCCCCCGCGGCCGGCCAGCCGGCTGTTCTTCCGCCGGGCCCCGGCGGACCCGCCGGCCGTGGCGGTGGCCAGCACGTGCAGCCGGTCGGCCCACTGCTCCAGCCGGCCGGCCCTGTGCCAGGCCGGCCCCGGGACCGGGGGGTGCGCCTGTGCCGAGGTCCTTGCTGCGGCCCTGGCGGGAGCCGGCCTGGTGGCCTCCGGCTGCCAGGCGCTGGCCGAGGGGGTCGGCAGCCCGAGTGGCCCGCTGGTCGGGAGCCGCGTTCACTCGCCGGTGGTGGCGGCCGGGGTGGCCTCCTCGCCGGCCTCCCTGCTATCCGGCGGGGGGGGCTCCGGTGGGAGTCCTTTCGTTTTGGTTTCCGACGGGGGCCCGGTGTCGCCGCCGACCATGGCGCATGCCCTGCGGCCGTCGCCCTCGGTGGGGTCGCTGCTGTCGGCGGTCGGGGGTGGGGCTTGCTCGTCGTCATCGTCGCCGGCCGGCGGGCCACCGCGCGAGACCGTCGCCCGGCACCAGCGCAACCTCTCGGACACGGGGGGCGTCTTCAAGGACGGGCGCCGGCGCTCGAGCGGTGTGCATTCCGAGGCCAACAGCGCGCAGGAGGACTTCATGAAGCTCTTCACCTCGGCCAGCCAGGGCGAGGACCGCCTGGAGGTGTTCTCCTTTGTGTGCGTGTGCTGGGTGTTCCGCGTGTGCGGGGCGGGGTGGTGGTGGGGGGGGGGGGGGGGGGGGGGGGGGGGGGGGGGGGGGGGGGGGGGGGGGGGGGGGGGGGGGGGGGGGGGGGGGGCGGGGGGGGGGGACAGGGGGGGGGGGGGGGGGGGGGGTTGGGGGGGGGGGGGGGGGGGGGGGGGGGGAGGGGGGAGTAGGGGGAGGGAGAGGGGGGGGGGGGGGGGGAGGGGAGGGGGGGGGTGGAAGGGGGTGGAGAGGGAGAGGGAGAGGGGGAGGGAGGGAGAGGGGGGGAGGGGGAGAGGGGGGGGGGGGGGGGGGGGGGTGGCCCACGAGCTCCAGACAGGGGAGGCCGGATTGGAGTCCGGTAGGAGCAACGGCAGCAAAAACGGAGGGGTATGTGTGTCTGTGTGTGTGTCTGGAAAGAGGAAGGAGGCAAGGGGGGAGGGGGGAGGGGGGGGGGAGGGGGGAGTGTCGCCGCCCGATTGTCTGAGGCCGAGCGTGCTGACTTATGAGTCTGGCTGGTGTGGATGGGCCCTCGCGCCGGGTTTTCTCCCATCTACTCAGCTCCCGCGGTTCGCAGCGATAGACGAATGCGCGGGTGACCAGGGTCCACAAGGGGCCCGGTGCTCCTTCCACGCCTTGGTTGAGGGTCGCTGCGCCAAGGGGAGGGGGAAGAACAGCGAGACAGTTGCGGCCTACAGAGAGGCCGGGCCCGGGGGAGGGGGGCAAAAAAAAATAGTCAGCCCCCTGCGGCCGGGTGACATCGGGCGGTCAGCACAGGGGCCGGCAGATACCCCGGGGCAGCTACGGAGCTCAAACCCCTGGCTTCTGGGGGAAGGTGGCGGGGGGTCTGCGCGCGCGCGCGCGCGCGCCGACGCGTACACACCCACCGACACACGCACTCATGCACGCGCGTGCGGACGCGCGAAACCCCGCGGCGAAAGCCGGCAGGCCCATCTTCGCGGGTGATCTGTCCCCCTCCCCCGGCGGGCGGGCGTGTTCATGAAGGGGCGCGGCTGTTGTTGTTGCCCGATTACTTTTGTTGTTGTTGTTGTTGTTGTTGTTTGGTGACCCGCGCCCGGGGTGGCGGGGCGAAGTACGGCCCCCCGTCCCTGTGCCCGGAGGAAGGGGAGGGGGAGGAGGAAAGGGCCAAGACAGCCGGGGAGGCTGGGGCGGCTGGCGATGATCCGAGCGAAATGGCCGATTGGGGTCGCGGAGGAAGCTCCCAGGGCTGGGCCTGCTGCTCGGGGGCGAATTTTGCCTCGGCCAAGTTCTGCTCACTGCCGGTGGGCGGCCGGTAGCCGGGAAGAAAGGGGCTGCTGTGTCCGACACCGATGTTGGCCAGCTGATCGGGTAGGCCGTGCTCCGGCGCCTGGAACGTGGGGGAGTGGTTCATGGCGGGCGCGGGTACTTTCCCTGCTGTGGGGAGGTGAGGGGGTAGAGTGGGCCGACCGTCAGAGTGGGAAGCGAGCCGGATGGAGATGGACCGG